CCAATCCCCTCTGGAATAAATAACTCATGGACTGGGGTTAAGCTGTGGCTCTGTGTGAGCCTGGGGAGAAGGGAACGTCCCCACATGTCACCCACCCCAAGCCACCCTGGCACAGCATCCCTCTGAAATGGAAAATGGGGGAGAGGAAAAACCCCTTGGAGCACTGAGAGAGGCAAATATTGTGGAAAACCTCAGTGTGAGGATTAAATGAGGAATGTTTGGGCTTCTTGGGCATTACAGTCCTTGGAACTGGGCTTGGATGCGCTGAGAACACAGCGAGGGGTCTTCAGGTTGTCCTGGGGTTGTTTTCCCAGGGAAAATAAGGAGAAGGAAAAGCCGGGAAGACAAACCCTTGAGGAAGGACCCGGCGTCAGCGACAGTCCCGCACTGCCGCTTCCAGAGGCGGAAGAGCCGCAGGAAGGCGGCGGCATAGAGGTCGTTCAGCACCCCAATGACCTGCTGCCGGCGGTTGCATTCCCTGGAAAACAGGGAGAGGGGCTTGGCCACATGCCGGGAAGGGCCCTGGATGTGGTTTGAGAGCCCAGAGCAGCCCCCCCTCACCGGGAGAGCCGCTCCTCCCGCAGCGCCTGGATGACGATCCGGGTGATGTTCACGGACATGATGCAGAAGGGAAAATTCTGCAAGAGAACCAGAATTCCGGCGTTATTGCAGCTCAGATGGAAAACCCTCCTCCCCTCTGGCACCTCCAACCCTTTGACACCAGATCTGTGTGGCCCCAAACCCACGGGATGGGTGACAGACCCACGTACTGGGATAACAGCTCTATGGATCCAGGCTCGGATGGATGCTGACGGTTGAGCCAAGCTTGTATCCCAGGCTTAAACCTGGACTAAAATGTGGAATTTAAGGAGACAGGCTCCACTCACTTCCATTTTCCTGTTGCCCAACTCTCCAGCCCTTTTATCCTACTCTAAGCCAGGATCAAATCTTTAAAATCCCATTCCCAGCACAAATCCAGTACCTGGAGCTCAGCTCCAGCCTGGATCAGGGCTCTTTGGGCACCACCTTCCTCCCCTCACCAGCCTGAGGGGGTTCAGCATCCCAAAAAAATCCCTGGAGAGGTTCTTGTTCTTCCCTTTCCCGGAGCACTGGGAATTCCAAGGGAGATCCCCCCACAGGGAGGAGGGGGAAGGCCGTGCCTGGGTTTCGTGCTGGGAGAGCTGGAAGATCTCCCTGGCCAGTGACAATGTTCGGGAGTCCAGGACGAAGAACAGGATCTGCATCAGCCCCAGCATTCCTGTCCCACGCAGGTCGGTCCCAGGATCCACACCTGGGGGGGCAGGGACAGCATGGAGTCACTCCCTGTCACCTTCCCATTCCATGGGCTGTTTATTCCCTGTCACTGCACTTCCAGGGTACAGGAATCCTGGGGATTCCCTTTCTGGAGGGAAAGCTTCCAGGGAATGTCTCTAATGGGGCCACCACCTCACTCACCTGGGCATTAACCAACCCTGCTCCCCCTGATACACTCCTGCTCCCACACTTTTCCAGGAATTACTAGCTTTTTTAGGCACGTGGTACTGGGATGACCTGGCCAAGCAGTCCAGTTGTACTGGGGCCAGTTTGACTTACTATCTTTATGAATAAAGGGATTGAGGGTGCCCTTGGGAACTTTGTAGGCATATGGAGAGGAGTGTAAGGATTGGGGTGAGGCTGCACCTCAAATCCTGGGATGAATTTTGGGGTCCAAGAAGGACATTGAGGTGCTGGAACGTGTCCAGGGAAGGGCAATGGTGATGGGGCTGGAGCACAGGGAGTGGCTGAGGGAGCTGGGATAGGACAGAGCTGCTCCAGGGGAGGTTCAGGTGGAGTTTGGGAATGGCCAGAGCTCGTTGCCAGTCCTACCCTGGAATCCCAGCTCCTCCCAGTGTGCCCCATAGCGGGGGCAGCCTCGGTGGGAGCGCGTCAGCTGCCGGTAGATGGTCTGTAGGATCCGCATGTGCACCCACTCCGAGTCATCCAGGGCGCCTGGCAGGGGGGAGGGAGGGACACCCCGGGGGGAGGGAACGCCCCACGTGGCTAAAAACACCCCTGGGATCTAAAAAACACCCCCCGGCACTCAAAACCAGCCCTCAGCACCCCAAAAACACCCCCGCTGCCCCCAAAACGCCCCTCAGCACCTCAAACAACAGCACATCCTCCAAAAACCCACCCCAGAGCCCAAAACCACCTTAAAAATACCCACAGCTCCCCAAGAGACACCCCTTGGCTCCGAAAAAACACCCCCTGGCTACCCAAAACTCAGCCCTCAGCACCCAAAAGATGCATCTTGGCACCCAAACAACACCCTGCAGCAGCTAAAAACACCCCCTGGTGCCCAAAAAACACCCCCTACACTCTAAGAAATCCCACAGTGCCCAAAAAATGCCCTTTGGTGCCCAAAACCCAACCACAGCCCCCTCAAAAATGCCCCCCGGCACCTAAAAAATCCCACTTGGCACCTTCAAAACCCCCTTGGTGCCCTAAAATGGCCCCTTAGCCCCCAAACCCACAGTCCCAAGGTTTCCCTGTGTGGGACCCCCTGGGATGGGCAGACATGACCCCCCCATGCTGAGGGACTGGGGGATTCCCATCCAGCGCTCCCCAGAGCCGGGAGCAGAGGGGACCCGGGGCCACTCACACTGTGCCATGGCCAGCACCAGCTCCCGCTCCCCCCGGAGCTGCGGCCAGAGCCGGGGGGGCCCCCCGAGGCAGCGCAGCAGCACGGACAGGCCCCCCCGGCGCCCTGGCCCCCGGACCTTCCTCTGCGGGAGAGACCCCAGACCCGTCAGGGCTGAGCCCCCAGGGGGAGGGGGGCTGGGTGCCCCCCAGCCCTAATTCCTGCCCTGCCCCCGGGCCGTACCCGGCTCTGGGAGAGCCCGGAGCTCTGGAAGTGCTGCAGCGCCTCCGCGAAGGAAATTGGGGGAGGGGGCACAGGTGAGGTGCCCCCCAACCCTGCAGGGAGAGAGGGAGGGGGTTAGACCCCCCCAATGACCCCTGCTCCCCCTGAGTGACCCTTGAACCCCCAGTGACTCTTGACCCCTCAGAGTGATCCCCAGGAGGGTGGAGCCATGGGGAACAGGGGTAAAACAGGGAGTCTCCTACCCCCTCCCGCCCCTCCACCCCCAAATAACCCCCCCAGGTGCTCCCCTACCCATCCTGCCCTCCGGGATCCAGGTCCTTCCCTCCTCCCCAGACCTCTCCAGCTGCCAGGCCCCCGTCGTTCCCAGTACCTGACTGGATCTCTTCCAGAGCCTCCCACTCCTCCTGGGCCCGGAGCTGCTCCTCGCTGATCCCTGCCCGAGGGGAGGAGCACAAGGGTCAGGTCCGGGTGGGAGACACGGGATGGGGGATTTGCTCCCTTCCCCCAACACCCCCCAGCACATCCTGGAGCTGGATTTCCCCTTTTCCAGGGAAAATCCCAACTGCAAGGTTTATCTTGGGTGGTCTTGGGGAACAAGCTGGGACCAAATGGATTTGATTGAGACCTCCCCGCTGGATCCCTGGGGTCCTTTCCAGCCCCCCCGGTGACCTTCCCACCAGGAAACACAGGGATTGATCCAAGAGAAGCAGGAGAAGCTCACCAAGGTCCGAGCACTGCCCCTCTCCAAGCACCAGCGCCTGCAGGACCCCATCCTGCCCCAGAGCTGGGATCTGGGGGGGAGAGAGGAAACCGGTGTCACCTCCCGGGACAGACCCCATTCACCAACCGACCCAAACCCCGAGGATTCCCCCCGGGAACCGCCCCTGTGCCCCACTGGAAGGCGGCTCAGGCTCCTTCGGAAGGGGGTTTCGGGGGGCGGTTGTGCCCCCAAGATGATTTTACACGGATACAATCGAGAGGTGAGGGGGAATGGGGGGCTGGAACCCCTGAGGTGAGGAGGCCCCCGGGGGCTCGGCCGGGGGGCTCCGGCCGGACACGCACGGGCAGGGACTTGCCGGGGGAAACACGCGCGGCCGCCGCTCCGGCCGCCGCTCCGGCTGCTCCGAGCCCCCGGCGCCGCTCATGCCCTGCGGGAGGAGAGCGGGGCGGAGATCAGGAGGTGGGGAGGAGGGTCCTGGAGATTGACACCCCCCAGGACCACCCCGGCCCCGCAGGAGCCCACTCGGGACCCCCCAGCCCCCCGCGGGCACCCTCAGGAGCCTCCTCTGGCCTCCCAGTGCCCCCCTCCAGCCCCTCAGGAGCACCCTCCAGGTCTCTCCCAGCCCCCCCAGATCCCCTCCTAGTCCCTCAGGAGCCCGGCCCGGCTCCCTCGGGGACCCTCCCGGGGGTCCCGTTCCCGCCCTGACCCCGCGGGACTCCTCCCGGCCCGGCGCCGCCGCAGTGCGCAGGCGCGGCCGCGCTGCACGCCGGGAGCTGGAGTCCCCGCCGCCGCTCGCTGGGAGAGACGGGGACTACAACTCCCGGCGTGCACCGCGCGGGGCGGTGACGGGGGCGCGCGAGGGCCAGAGCGCGGGAACGGAGACGGGCGGGACCAGAGGGCGGGGCTATGATGGGGGCGGGGCCATACACAGAGGGCGGGACTCTGATCGAGGGGCGGGGACTGGGGACAGTGGGGCGGGGCTACAGGCGCTGGGGCGGGGGTGGCCAGTCCCCGGGACCAGTACCCAGTCTCAGCTCCCAGTGCTCGGTCCGAGCTCTCAGTGCCACTCCTAACTTCCAGTATCCCACTACCAGCTCCCGGTGTCAGCTCCCAGTGCCCCCTTCCCATCTCCTAGTGCCCAGTGCCAGTTCCCAGACCCAGCTCCCAGTGCCCTGTGACAACTCCAAGTGACTCTGTGACTCCATATCCCAGTGCCGGCTCCCAGTGCCCAGTGCCTAGTGCCTTCGTCCTGCTTGCAGCTCCCAGTGCCCTGTGACAGCTCCCAGTGCCAGCTCGCAGCAGCCACTGCCTGCTTCCTGGTTCCAACTCCAGGAATCCCAGTGCCCGCCCCCAGTACCCGGTTCCGCGACTCGGTTCCAGCTCCCAGTTCCCAGTGCCAACGCCCGCCCCTCCCGCGGTCCTCCCGCCCAGCGCCGGTGCCGTGCCCCTTTTCCATCGTCCTTATCGGCTTTGTCCCCCTCGCCCTGTTATTCCCATTCCCGCTGTTCCCGGCTCCCGCTCCGCCGGACGGCGCAGCAACATGTGGCTGCAGGTGCTGCTCTATCTCGTCCCCGTCCTTCTCCTCGTCCTCCTCCTCCTCTTCCTCATCCCGGTCCTCTTCCTCCTGTTCCCGCAAGTCTCTGGCGGCCGCAATCCCTTCGCCGCCGACAGCCGCCGCCCGCCCGGGCCGCTCGTCACCGACAAGGCTGTGCGGAGGAGCGTCGTCAAGACAGGTACGGGACCCCTGGCGGGTATCGACCCCGGGGACAGCATTGGCCCCTCAGGGCGGTGTCACCCGCCGGGGTAGCATTAATCCCCCCGGCATTGCCACTGGAGCGGAATCACCCCCCGGGCTGTCGTGGCCCCCCGGGGCAGCATCTCCACCTGGGGCAGCATCAACGCCCCAGGGCATTATTGTCCCCCCCGGGTGGCGTCAGCCCCCCGTATCAGTCTGAAAATGCCACCCAGGGTGGCATTGTCCCTCCCCCATGTGGAGTCCCCCCCTCTGTCAGTATGACACCCCCCCCAGGGTGATGGCATTGTCCCGGGTGGGGTCACTCCCTCTGTCACTCTGAAACCCCTCAGGGTGGCATTGTCCCCCAGCGCCGGAGTCCCCCCCTATGTTAGTATGACCCCCCTGGGTAGCATTGTCCCCCCGGGTGGTGTCACCCCCATGTCAGTCTGACACCCCTCAGTGTGGCATTGTCATCGCCCCACCGTTGGAGTCCCCCCCCGTGTCAGTATGACCCACCCCAGGGTGGCACTGCTCCCCCCGGGTGGGGTCAGTCTGAAGACCCCCAACATGGCATTGTCCCCCCAACGTCGGAGTCACCCCTGTGTCAGTGTGACCCCCCGAGGGTGACACCCCCCAGCCTGGCATCACCCCCTGGGTGCCACCCCCTCGCCATGGTTTTGGGGGTGCCCCGTGCCCCAGGGGTCCCCCCTTGCTGACACCCCGCTGTCCCCGCAGTGTTCTCGGCAGAGAAGGTGCCCCCGCAGCTCGATGCCATCGTGGTGGGCAGCGGCGTGGGGGGGCTGGCGGCGGCCGCGCTCCTGGCCAAGACCGGCCAGCGGGTGCTGGTGCTGGAGCAGCACGGGAAGCTGGGGGGCTGCTGCCACACCTTCACCGAGAAGGGCTTCGAGTTTGACACCGGTACGATTTGGGGCTCCAAAATTCCCCCCCAGATCCAAAGGAGGGGGCTGGGACACACTCGGGGTGGGAATCACACCCACTGGGGGTCAGATAAGGGGGCCCCAGCACCCACCCCTGTGTGAGACAAGCCTGCTCTTCACCCCAAAATTCTCTGGCTGAAGGACACCAACCCCCCCTGAATTCCCCATATCCAGCCCCTATGGAACTCTCAGCACCAGGAATATCACCTTAGGACAAACTTGGCACCTCCCTGGAAGACTCCTCCCAGTGAGGCAAAGTCCAGCTCTATGTATTCCCAGAGCTCCAGGATTAATTATTTACAGCAAAGATGAAAAATCACGATGTGTAACAAAATTCCCAGTTAAAAACACCATGGCAAGCAGCATCCACCCCAAGTGGGAGCCAGGTGTATCCCGGATTTTCCCTTTCCCTTCCATAGGGAGCTGCAGAGGTGGGGATGGAAAAACAAGAGGAGGGTCCTGTGCATCCCAGGGTGGAAAAAACCAGGAAAAATATCAAAATGTAACAAAATTCCCCAGATTCCCAAATAAAAATGTGATGGCGAGCATTGTTCACCTCAAGTGTATCCCAGATTTTGCCTTTCCCTTCCACATGGAGTTGATGGGGAGGGGATGGATAAACAAGAGGTGCATTCGGTGCATCCTGGAGTGGGAAAATAAAGGAAGAAAAAGGAAAAATAAAGAAAAAAAGAGGACAAAAACGGTAAAATGTCTCTTTTAGGGATCCACTACGTGGGGGAGATGCAGGAGAGCTCCCTGATGCGGTTCCTGATGGACCAGCTGACGGATGGGCAGCTGGAGTGGGCCCGGCTCCCGACCGTCTACGATGCCGTGGTTTTGGGGGACCCCCAGGGCGATGGCAGGACCTACCACATCCGTTCTGGGGAGCAGGAATATTTCCAGAAGCTGAAGGAGCAGTTTCCCGGGGAAGCTGCGGCCATTGATGAGTTCCAGCGGCTGGTGAAGGTAGAGGAACATCCAGGTGGGATAAAACAAGGGGGTTTGGATCTGGAGGATCACACAAAGGGGGGAAAACCCCTGGCACCCAGATATTGGCCACCCCCAGGGAATAATGGCCTTGTCCCAAAAGTGTTGGGGAACACATCCAAAGTCACCCTTTCCTGCCTCAAAACCCCAGCGTCACAGATCTTTTTGGGGAGATTTTCTGGGGGGACATTTTTTGAGGGACCTTTTTTTATGGAGCTTTCTGGGGGAGTTTTTTGGGAGGACCTTTCTGGAGGAGTTTTATGGGGGAGCTTTTGAGCAGAGTTTTTCTGGCTGGGGGAGAGCTTTTTTGGGGGAGTTTTTATGGGGAGCTTTTTTAGGGGGAGCTTTTTTGAAGGGAGATTTTTGGGGGGGAAGCTTCTTTGGGGAGCCAGCGCTCCCCTTGTCCACAGCTCCCCAGGATGCCCAGCAGTGAATTTAAGGGGAAAAAAGTACTTTGGGGTGTGTCCCAAGCGTGGCCCCGCTGACCCCGCGCTCCCCCCGCAGAGCACCAGCCGTGGGGTCGTGCTGATAAGCATCCTGAAGATGCTCCCGCAGTTCCTGGCAAGGCTCCTGTGCTGGTCCGGGCTCCTCCCGCGCGTCTGCTCCTTCTCCCGCATGGCCTCACGCAGCCTCAAGGAGGTGGTGGAGGGTCTGACCCCCAACCCCGAGCTCCGGGCTGTCCTCAGCTACCTCTTCCCCACCTATGGTAGGTGACCAGGAGGCTCCAAGGTGGCGTCAAACCCTTTAGAAACAAAAAAAAAAAAGGCAAGAAACCCCTTTTTCCCATGCCCTCGGGAGGTGTGTGGGGAGGGCTGCTGCGTGGTGGGTGCTCCACCAGTATCCTTGTCCCCAAGTCACTGGTGGGTTATCCACATGTCCCTGTTGCTCGTCTCCATCTCGTTCCCTCCACGTCCTTCACCTTCCCAGTAGGGCAGCATCGGTCCCGTACAAGGGAATGTCCCCACTTGGACCCCCAAACCTCCCCCTTGCCTCCATCCCATCACCCAGGGCTTTGCTCATGGTCTGCCACGACTTGGTTGGGTTGGTGACCGCAGGCTTTGCCACGGGGACACCCGTGCCCAACGTCCTCCCCGCTCCTCCAAGTTCCTCACCTGCATCCCTCCTTCTTCCCAGTGTCATGTCTATGGTGTTCCTCATGCTAAACCCTTTAGGATAAGCCCCAAACCCGTGATTTGGCCCAAACCCACCTTGGCTGCCCCTTTTTCCAGGTGTGATCCCCTCCAAGGTCAGCTTCTCCACGCACAGCATCCTGGTGAACCACTTCCTCCGCGGTGCGTGGTACCCCAAAGGCGGCTCCGGGGAAATCGCCTTCCACACCATTTCCGTGATCCGGAAAGCCGGAGGCAACGTGTTTGGGAAGGCACCAGTGGAGAGGATCCTGCTGGACTCCCAGGGCAGAGCCTGCGGTGAGCACCGGCGCGGGACGGGGCGCGGGGTTGCTCCCCGGCGCGGGGGGGTCCCTTCACCAGCACCGCTCCTCCCGCTCCGGATTTTCCCTCCCAGGTGTGAGTGTCAAAAAAGGCCAGGATCTGGTGAACATCTACGCTCCCATAGTCATTTCGGATGCCGGGATATTCAACACCTACGAGAAGCTGCTGCCTCCGGAGGCGCAGGCCCTGCCAGGTACCGGGCCCTGGCAGGGTTACTGCGTTAATCCTGTCCTAAGCTTCATCCCAAAGCGGATTTATCAATTAATGTTTGATTTAATGTTAAATTGTTCCTGTGCCACAGCCCTAAAAACACGGTCCTGGCCACTCATTTCTTCACAGGGGTTTTAATTAGGCCTAAATTAATCAGCCAGAATTGGCCGTAGTTAGCAAAGTCCTGGTTGGGTGCAAGGATTCCCTAAAAAGCACAGTGTAGGGCCTTGAAATTTGTGGAAGCTGGTGGAATGTCCACCTGAAGTTGGGTTTAGAGCTGCCAAAAAATCTGCTGGAAGGGGCAAGGGTGGGTGGAAGGGGCATGGATGGGGGCATAGTGGGATGGTGGGGTGGAAGGGGACGGGGTGGATGGGAAGGGGCACAACTGGGTGGAAGGGGCACCAGCAGGAATGGAGATGGTTGGGTGGGTGTGTGGGAAGGGGGAACAGGTGGGTAGGAAGAGGGCGTGGATGGGTGGAAGAGGCACAACTGGGTGGAAGGGGCACACTTGGATGGGAACGGGGACGGGTGGGTGGGTGGGAAGGGCAGGGTTTGGTAGGAGGGGCTCAGGATTGGAGAAACCACTTCATAGCAGAGGATCCTAGAAAAGCCTGATTTTCCCCAGAAAAGACTGATTGCCCTTTTTCTCTCCCTGTGGCAGAGATCCAGTCCCAGCTGCGCTTGGTGGCCCACGGCGAGGGCTGTCTCACCGTCTTCGTCGGCCTCAACGGCTCAAGGGAAGAGCTGGGGCTGGAGCCCACCAACTACTTCATGTACCCAGGGAGTGACTTGGATGGAATGTAGGTTTGGCTTCACCTTGGACCTGCTTCATTGAGCATAAGGAGATGAATTCCCGGGCAGTGACTCGGAAAACAGGGATTCAGGTGTAATGAGGATTCAGGCAAAGGTATGCACCAAACCCCACCTCGACCCTTGCATCTCCCTGCAGCATGAAGAGATACCTGGATTCATCCAGAGAAGAAGCTGCTAAGAACATGCCTTTCCTCTTTGTCACCTGCCCCTCGTCCAAGGACCCCACCTGGGAAATGAGACACCCAGGTGAGGCTGAAGCCCAACCACAAATGCTTGTGAGGGGCTCCAAAACTCTTGTTGGGGTTTGGTGACATCCAGCAAGGAGTTTCTGCTCAGCTATCTATGGTCAAAGCTGCTGAGCAGGTGCTCATGGAGTGCAGCCTTTGAGATACCTGGATGAAGGACACGGAACCCCAAAGACCTGGGGACATCCCCTGGGTTTGGGTGGGGAGGGTTTGGGGCAGCAGAGTGGGGTGAGTGTGGGCAGAGGGATAAGTGCCCCATCCTTGTCCTCCCGCAGGTAAATCCACGCTGGCCATCGTCACCTTCGCCAGGTACGAGTGGTTTGAGGAGTGGAAGGACAAGCAGGTCCACAAGAGGGGTGATGACTATGAGGACTTGAAGAAGACCTTTGTGGACGCTGTCATGCAGACTGTCTACAAGCTCTACCCCCGCATTGAGGGCAGGGTGAGGAAACTCGGGGTTTGGAGGTCCTAAACTTGGGTGTCAGGGGTCCTCCAGCTCCTCTCTGGGTCCTGTCTACACACCCAACACTGGAGCTGGGGCTGAACCTGCTGGACGTGAGCTCCAGCATCTCACTAACCCATCACTGCTGCCTCCTCACGGTGCAGGGGTGAGTGATCAGTGCGAGGGTGAGTGATCCTGGAACCATGGAGTGCTTTGGGTGGGAAGGGACTTTAAAGCTCATCCCGTTCGACCCCCTGCATGGGCAGACACACATTCCACTAGATGAGGTTGCTCCGAGCCCTGTCCAACCTGGGCAGACCTGGACAACTGTCCCAGGATGGTCCTTCAGAACCAAACCTGGGCAGAACCACCACCCCAGGCTCTGCGAGGGAACTTATCTCAGCCCGTACCCCCCAAAAACAGCTTTCTGGAGCACAGGGCTTCCCCCCCACTGTTCTGGTACCCTGCAGACCACCCTGTTCCCCTACCCCTGCAGGTTGAGTACCTCTCGGGCGGGACACCCCTAACCAACCAGCACTACATCGGCAGCCCCCGCGGGGAGTTGTACGGCACCGACCACGGCATCCCCCGCCTGCAGGCCGAGGTCGTGGCTGCTGTGCGGGCACAGACGGCTGTCCCCAACCTCTACCTGACAGGTGACAGGGCCAGCAGTGTCCTCAGACGGGGACAGCTCTGGGGGAGCAGGGTGTGGGGGCAGAAAACATCCGATCCTGAAGGGAAGAGCCACTGCAGTGCTGTGGAGCAGTGGAAGGGCTGCTGGAAAAGTGGAGTTCCACAGTCCCAAGGGGAGGAGGAAAGGGCTGTGTTCCTCCAGCTCTGTGGGGTTGTCTCCTTGCCCAGTGCAGAATGGGGCAGGATGAGGCCCTTTTCCTGCTGGGGAGAAGGAAGGGGTCAAACAGGGAGGGGTTTGTGGGTTCAGACCCCAGGGATGGTGTGGGGGCAGCTGGAAGGTGGGGAAGGTGATGCCCAAACCAGCATTTGTGGTCAGCTGGGATAGAATGGGGAGCGAGGGCTGCTCACAGGGGGACTGTGGCCACTGCTCCCTCCTTCCAGGGCAGGATTTGTGCCTGGGTGGCTTCATGGGAGCCCTGCAAGGAGCCATCATCTGCGCCAGCAGCATCCTCAAGCGCAACCTCTACGTTGACTTGGTGAGGCTGAAGAAAAGCTTGGAGGCCACCAATGCCAAGAAGGGAAACTAACACCTGCTGTCCCACCATCAGGGACCCCCCACTGGCCACCACATCACCTCCACCTCCGCATTCTCCGCTGTCACACACCTGTAGCAGATCCATCTCCATGCAAAGCCAAGGATTTCAATCCAGGAAGATGCTATTCCCATTCCCAGCCAGATTGTCTGGCACCTCACCCACCTGAAACGCATCCCCTTCCACCACCACATCCAGTGCTTGTCTCTGGCCATGAAGAGGGTCCCCAAGAGCTGTCCCACAGAGCCATGGCCAGGAGAGAAGTCACGGTAACCCCAAAACAGGCAGCACCAGCAGGTAACAGCATCAAGCACCCAGAGCTGCTGGATCCCACCAGTGGAGCATCAGAAGAGCATCAACCTCCACCTGCATCCAGCAAACACCCACCTTCACCTGCAGCCCCCAGAGCTGTTTGAAAGCAATGGTACTTGCGGGCTGTCCAGTGCTTCCAAAATCATTTCTGGGGGCAGCAGGACCCCCACGCCCCGACATTCCCAGTGTTTGGGGGCTGCTCTTCCCCCGTCGCCCCAAGGCATCGATGGCACAAGCAGCTGCTCCTTGAGCAGTACAAAAGTCCTTCTGTCTCCTGGGAAAAGCTTGGGAACAGTGTCAGAGTCCTGTCTGGTTGGAAGGGAAGCACAAGAGGCTGGAAATAAATCAATAAAATAGTGATAATGATCCTGGGATTTGTGCCTCGTGATGGGTCAGCAGGGCTGGGTGACGTGAGGGGGAAGGGAACGGGAAGGAGAAAGGAGAGCCCCATTGCTGGGGGCTTATACTGCTCAGTTTTGGGGAGGAATAATGACAGAGAGGCTGTAAATGGGGAACCCGAGGAAAACCAGTGGCCCATGTGGATTTACCTCCCTGTCACATCCTTAGAGTGGGCAGGGATGGGCAATAAGGCTGGGGAAGCTGGATGAGGCTGTTTTCCCCATTCTCAGCCATGGGAAGAAGAGTTCCCTGGAAGTGGGGGGGGAAAGACTTGGAGAGGGTAAGGAAGGCAGTGTAGGATCACCCGGGTGCTCCTGGTGTTTCCATCTCCCATCCCTCTCATCCCCACCATCCCCTCGGAGGACAAAAGTCCTCCTTTTTTTCTCTCCTGCCTGAGCCTGGGGTGCTGTGCCCCTCTCCCACCCTCTGCCTCACAGGTGCCATCCCACTCCCAGGTGACAGAGAGGACACCAGAGCTACGTCACTCAGCTGAGCAGGATCTGCTCCCAGGCTTCCCAAAGGAGCACCTGGGGCTCAGCCTGGGGCCCGTGGGAGTTTGGAGCCCACCTCCCCATCTGAAGGGACACCCCAGTATGTCCCAGTGAGGACATGAGGCCAAGCTGGGCTTTGGCCACTGTCAACACAGTTGGACTCGATCTTAGAGGGCTTTTCCAACCCAAACAATTTCATGATTTCCCAAAGCCCAACCATCCCCATCTCCCACCTCCTGGTCCCCCACCCTCCGTGACACCCTGAGGTGGCCCCGTCGTTGCAGGGCTCTGCTGTGAGCATGGCAAGGCCTTTGAGAGCATCATCTCCACCTTGGGCTGCGACTCAAAGCTTGTGAGACTGACACAGATTTTCCAGATTCAGTGCTGGGAGAAGAGCCCAGTGCTCCCCAAAATCCCCAGAAACATCTTTGTTCAGGTAATGCAGCTGCTGGATGAAAATTTCCCCTTTTTGCTTGATTTGGGCAGAACTGGACAGGCACAGCGCAAGGTTTAAAGCTGCTACCACTACAAATCTGGTTTAATTGTGGATTTTGGTACCTCTTTGGGCCATTCCTCACTCCCCAGCTTCCCACCAAAACCCTCCATCCCAATTCTTTTGTGCTCCATCCCTCTTTTTTGATGCTTTCAGCAATTTTGAAGCCTCCTTGCTCACTGCAAACCCTCCTGTCCCAGCCTCCCACCATCCCTACGTGTGTCCCTCCTTCAGAGCAGAGCCTCAGTCACTCCCAGTGTCCCCATTTCTCCCAGTGGCTTGCACCCTTTGGACTACTGGGGCTGAAATCACACTGTTTGCCATGATACAGGACATCACTGGGAGAAAATATTCCTCCCAGACACTACATGGATAGAGATGAATCCATAAAAGGTGACTTTAAATCCCATCATGGTGACACTTGGGACAGCAAACCCCTGGGAGCAGGACTGGGAGAAGCCTGGCTGTGAGCTGGTGATGGAGCAGGGGAAAAATAAAACCCAGAGATGGTTCCTTAGCAGGGAATAGTGTGACCATGCTGGAAAGGAGCCCTGGAAATAGGCTTGAAGGCTGATCCAGCAAAGAGGATTAGATCACTGAGGAAACTGGTAATTCAGCGACAGGTCGGGACCAGCAGAGAGTGTGAGCTCTGCAAACAACCAGATCCCAGAAACCACCCAGAACCATCCCCTGGGCATTCCTGTCACTGCCAGGGAGTGGGGACAGCCAGGGATGCCCCAGGAAAGGTCCTGGGAGGCTGCTCTGGGCACCCACAGTGTGGGCAGGGGGTTCCTGCCCCTGTGCCCCACTCAGGTGAGATCCCACCTCCAGCTCAGGGACCCAACATGAGAGGGACGTGGAGCTGCTGGAGCGAGTCCAGAGGAGGCCACGGAGATGCTCTGAGGGCTGGAGCCCCTCTGCTCTGGAGCCAGGCTGGGAGAGCTGGGGAGGTTCACCTGGAGAGGAGAAGGCTCCAGGGAGAGCTGAGAGCCCCTTCTAGTGCCTAAAGGGGCTACAGGAGAGCTGGAGAGGGACTGGGGACAAGGGATGGAGGGACAGGACAAGGGGGAATGGCTTCCCACTTGCAGAGGGCAGGGTTAGGTAGGATACTGGGAGGAAATTTTTCCCTGTGAGGGTGGTGAGGCCCTGGCACAGGGTGCCCAGAGAAGCCGTGGCTGCCCCTGGATCCCTGGAAGTGTCCAAGGACAGGCTGGATGGGGCTTGGAGCAACCTGGGATAGTGGAAGGTGTTCCTGCCTATGGCAAGGGATGGAACTGGGTTGTCTGTAAGGTGTCTCCCAACCCAACCTATTCCACAATTCTTGGCTGGGGGGGTACAGGCCCACAGGGAGCCCCCAAGGACCCCAAGGGAGCAGACCCAAGGGAGCTCACAGTGGCCATTCTGCCCACAGGCTTGTCGGGGGAAAATTCAACCAGGGGTGGATGTGGAAAATATGAGTCGAATATGAGTCAGCAGTGCCCTGGCAGCCAGGAGGGCCAACCCTGTCCTGGGGGCATCAGGCCCAGCATGGCCGGCCGAGTCAGGGAGGGGATTGTCCCGCTCTGCTCTGCCCTGGGGCGGCCTCACCTCAACATTGGGGCAGTTTGGGGGGACACAATGGAAGGGAGAGATTGAGCCATTAGAGAATGTCCAAAGGGGGCCACGAGAGATGGGGAAGGGCCTTGATTTGAAGCCGTGGGAGGACACTGAGGGCACTTGGTGTGTTCAGCTGGAGCAGAGGAGACTGAGGGGAGACCTTAGTGCAGTTCCAACTCCCTAAGGAGGGGCAGAGGAGGGGCAGGGTCTGAGCTCTGCTCTGGGGGGACCAGGGACAGCACCCAGGGAAGGGCTGGAGCTGTGTCAGGGCAGGGTCAGGTTGGATCTCAGGGAAAGGTTCTTCCCCCAGAGGCTGGTTGGGCACTGACCAGGCTCCCCAGGGCAGTGGGCACAGCCCCAAGGCTGCCAGAGCTGCAGGAGGGTTTGGATGATACTCTGGGGCACAGGGGGTGACTCTTGGGGATGGGCCTGTGCAGGGCTGATCATGATCAGGGCATGATCCTTGTGGGTCCCTTCCAACTCAGCACATTCTGTGATTCTGTGATTCTGTGGAATGTGACAGCACAAAGGCAGAGACTGAGTGTGATCCAGATGGAAGCTCTGACTACTCCCCACCTCTCCTCGAACAGCTGTGATGTTCACCTGCTGCCCAGATAAGGGAGAGCTCCTGATGCACCAACGCCAGTCAGAAAAGTTTCCTTTTGGCAAAAAAAGTAGGACAAAGCAAGGCCAGGGTACAGCCAATGTCCCTGTCCTTCCTTTCCACCCCACAGGCTGTGTGTCCTTCCTCAGCCCCTGCAGATCCTGCAGGGTCCTGCAGGGAGGGGACCATCACCTGCCCCTCCACTGTCCCCTGACCCACATGAACAGGGAGGGAACATTTTGTGCCAGGCCGGGGGCACCTACGAGGGGTCAAGGGAAGGTCCTACTCCACCCCCAACCTGCTGGGGACCCCTGACCTCCGCAGGGCCCGGGGCAAAGGGATCCTGAGGGGGAAAAGCCCAAGGAATGATGAGCAGCAGGTTGTTCCCTGTCACGCATGAAGAGAAAGGGACAAGTCACATGAAAACCAACCAAAAAACCCTCTGGGAAGGTGAGTGGCTCAATCTGGAAGCACCAGAGCTACCAGGGGGAGGGTTTAACAAGCCAAGAGGAACATCTTACCTGGGACCCTCTGCAGAGCAGAAACCTCCAATTTAGGCACAGGATGGTGCAGTGACACCCGAGCCCTCCCCAGCAGCACCCCCATGGCTTCCACAGCTCTGAGGGGGACCCAGACTTGCTTCTCCCTCTGATTTTCTCACCCCAAAGGGCTCTGACCTTGCAAATGCCATCTTGCTCATTTCGATGGGTTTTTAATCCAAACAAACCTCCCCAGGCTATGGAATTTTGTCTTGGAGAGTTAAAACTGACGTGTTTGCTTGGCTGGTGCCCTACCCATAAGGAAAATACCTGCTGTGAGATCAGCACAGGTTCAGGTGTTTGCTCATGAGGCCACGCAAGATTCAAAGCTTTAAACAAAAAAAGATCAGATAAAATAAACCCTGGGGTGGTTTTCAGTGTTTGCATGTTGGGTTCACTTGGGATCCAGGCTGGAGGTCAGGGAGTGGATCCAGGAGCGTTTCACAGAATCATGGAATCATTTAGGTGGGAAAAAAACCCTGAGATCATCAGAGCACTGCCAAGGCCACCACTAACTCATGTCCCCAAGTGCCACATGCACATGGCTCTTAAATCCCTCCAGGGATGGGGACTCCACCCCTGCCCTGAGCAGTTGTGCCACAGCTGGACAGCCCTTCCCATGATGGAGTTTTCCCAATATCCAACCTAAACCTCCCCTGGCACAACTTGAGGCCATTTCCTCTTGTTCCCTGGTAGCAGAGCCCAATCCCCCCCTGGCTCCACCCTCCTGTCGCAGCTGGCACAGGAGCAGGGGGGTTGAAGGGCACAGACCCAACCCCAGCTCTCACCTCAGTGTCCAGTTTCGCCCAGTTTTGCCCAGTTTCTCATGCATTAAACATCCTCCACCCCCTCCACCCTCCAGGCCTCTCTGCTAAACCACCTGTATCAGAATCTCAGCAACCCAGCCCCGATAAGCAGAGCCCAACCCAGGGCTCTGAGTTGGCAAAGTATTTCTGATTTTATTTCACAGTATTTCCACTCCTGCACTGAATCCTGGGCAGTCACCCCAACATGACCCCAGCTGGCACTCATCGCACCCCGGGGTGCTCCTGCCCCTTCCTGCCCTCGGGGGACCTGAGAGGCTGTTCCTTCCCACCACACCAGCTCTGCCTGTCAGAGTTAAATGTTTCGAGACCTTTCCAGCCCTCTCAAATCAGGGTGGCAGCAGGCAAGGAGTTTGAGTTCTTGGAGCATAATTCAGTGTTTTTTGGGAAATCACCCTAAGGACATGGAGCAGAGTGGTGCTTTGAGG